CCTTCACTAGCATTCCCACTTTGCCCTAATCCATCCCTTCCCTTAGGACTATGCTGCAATCCTGTCTCCCCCATTCTCCTCCTGGGATTTTGGCCATGTACGCATATGCACGTGGAGTGATTTTCAAGCTATCAGATCTGGGACTCAAACCGTAGTCAAAAGGCTATGTGGGAATCCAGCACCTTGACTAGACCATCTACTGCCTGCCCCCACAAGGCTCCTCTTAGGGGGCGGGGCTCTGACCAACTGACCTGCTTCCTCTAGTGCCTTTCAGAATTCTGGCGAACATGGTGGTCACCCCCTTATCCACAGAGGACATGTTCTGAGACCCTCATTAGGTGCCTGAAACCACAGATTATGCAAACTCAATATGTATGTTTTCCTATAATACACACCTCTGATCAAATTTAATCCATGGATTATGCACAGGAAGGGATTAACAACAGTAACTAATCATAAAGTAAAGCAATCTACTAAAATAGCAGTTAAATAAAATATGCTTTCTCTGGAAATATTTTCTTGTTCTGTACTCAGCTATTTTTAGGCTCCCGTTGACCACAGGGACCTGAAACCACTGAAGACAGAGCCACAGATCAGGGCGGTCTGTTGTGCGTTTTTCCACTGTGTGAGGCTATAAGCTGACAGCATGCAAAGATGCCCCATGTGACCACAGTGAATAACTAACTAAACTCCTGCAGCACCCACACAACCCACCCAGGCTGCGTACCCCAGGCCGGTATGAACCCAGCATCGAGGGACAAAGCCTTCTACTAGGACGGGCTTATTTCCTAGAAGTTGTCTTGAAGAACACTCAAGCTGGCACAAGAATTAGATAATTTTTAATTGGTAAAAAATTTTACTTCTTCTTTTTTCATTTGTTTTTAGAAAGAAGATGGCCAGATAGTAAAATGATATTTCCCAAAGGACATACAAAGCATGTTCTCCTAGTATCCCGGGCTGGAGCCAATAGCAGTGACCCAAGAGGAGCCCTGCCTCAAGGTCTGAGATTTTGATTTTTGCAAGATTTGCTGTTTGTGAGGTGTGTGTAAGGAAAAGGACTTAGCAAAAAGACCCACTTTGCAATATGTAAAATGATTCCTAGTCACATGGCCAGTGTGTTTCTTGCCCCTCAGTCTTCAGTGGTTGAACTTAATTCCTTCCATATCAAAACTTTTTTTTTAAGGCCACTTCTGAGGAAGCCCACAGAGCGGATATCCCAATACACATAGTGATTGGATATTTGTAATACCAATATTTTTTATAATGTAGATATTGATTCTTCAGTTTCAAAATTATTACAACTTGGTAAATCTTAGTAGTGGAAGGTTCGCAAGAGCTCTGGAATCTATTTCATTTCTCTCTTTTCACAAAAATTTTTTCTGTACATACTAACTTTGGTATGTGTCAACACAGGATCAAGAGAACTTTTTTTTTTGGAGAGGTTTTTGCTATAGGGCACGTGTGCTCGCAAGAAAGACAGAGAGAAACAGAGAGACAGAAAGCAAGAAATCACCCCCCAGAGGGGAGGGCCACGCTGCAATCCATTCTGCTCCATTCTCCTCTTGGGATCTGGGCATGCACGCACATGCACCCGGCATGAGTTTAAGTCGCTGAGTCCAGGACTTGAACCACAGTCGACTATGTGGGAGTCCAGCAACATAGCCATTACACCAACTGCTGGTACCCAAGAGAATTTAATCTAAGTATTCTTAGTTTGCAAAACTCTTCAGAAGGCCCAAAGAACAAGGCAGAATTAAGAAAATCAGAAATACTAGGATACTAGGAAGCTTCTATTCGTGATCTCAACTTCTTTTATTTTCCTTTTTTTTTTTTTTTTTTTGTAAAAGACTTTTTGGTAAATCTTAGTAGTGGAAGGTTCGCAAGAGCTCTGGAATCTATTTCATTTCTCTCTTTTCACAAAAATTTTTTCTGTACATACTAACTTTGGTATGTGTCAACACAGGATCAAGAGAACTTTTTTTTTTGGAGAGGTTTTTGCTATAGGGCACGTGTGCTCGCAAGAAAGACAGAGAGAAACAGAGAGACAGAAAGCAAGAAATCACCCCCCAGAGGGGAGGGCCACGCTGCAATCCATTCTGCTCCATTCTCCTCTTGGGATCTGGGCATGCACGCACATGCACCCGGCATGAGTTTAAGTCGCTGAGTCCAGGACTTGAACCACAGTCGACTATGTGGGAGTCCAGCAACATAGCCATTACACCAACTGCTGGTACCCAAGAGAATTTAATCTAAGTATTCTTAGTTTGCAAAACTCTTCAGAAGGCCCAAAGAACAAGGCAGAATTAAGAAAATCAGAAATACTAGGATACTAGGAAGCTTCTATTCGTGATCTCAACTTCTTTTATTTTCCTTTTTTTTTTTTTTTTTTTTTAAAAGACTTTTGCCTTAGGTCACATGTGCTCGTGGGCAACAGAGAGAAAGACAGAGACAGTGAGAAGGAAAGCGAGACATCAACCCCCAGAAGGATGGCCACACCTTCTCCTCCATTCTCCTCCTAGGATGTTGGGCAAGCATGCACATGCACCCAGCATGAGTTTTAAGCCACCGGATCTGGGACTCAAACTGTAGTTGCCCATGTGGAAGTCCAGCAACGTAATTGCTACACCATCTGCTGGTCCCAATCTCAACTTCTTATAGCTCAAAAATAGGGTAACTCTAAGAACATTCTAAACCTATCATTAAACCTTGTGCTTTATCTATTATAGAACAATAATAGCAGCATCATTTCACCTTTTTAAATCTTGAGTAGTAGCTATCCTTTACAGAAAATAACTCTACTTGGTAGCAGTGTAGTTTCCAGGCTTCTACCTCCTGGCATGCAAGGGAGAGCAGAGGAGGGGAAAAAAGCGTTGAGCAGTCAGTCAACAATACTCATGCCATCATCTCTAAAGGGGCCTGTTATATTTCTTCTTCCCTTTTAGACATACTATAATCACTAGACATGCACAATGACCCGTTCATTTGACACTTGACAAATACTTGCCCAGCACTTACTCTTCCCAGGGCTGAAGGTACAGAGATGACTTGGTCTTTTAAAAAAACTCACAGAGGGAGGCAGACATGAAACAGATATTTTGAAGCTGTTTACTCGGTGCCGTAATAGAAAGATGACCGAAGTATAGTGGCAGCGCTGGTGGAGGGACCCTACCTTTTTCTGGAAAAGTCAACCAGGTTTTCATGGACATCATGATGATTGTTTTGAGAAGAAGACAGACATTCCAGTCAGAGGAACCCGGATGTACAAGGGCAATAGAGATGTTGCAAACGGCATGGAACTTGAACGTCGAGAGCGCGCCTGCAAATCAGTTCATAAAAAGTTGGATGTTCATGATGCTGAAGTTACTGGTGAAGGTGAAGTGTGGAATAGTCAAACATTTGGTTTATTGGGCTTCTCACGGTATTCTACCACCTCCTACACACACACACACCCACACACATACATTGTCGCATATACCAACCCTTTATTAAAGGGTTAGCATTTCCCAAAGATCAGTGTATTAATTTAACATATAATGGTTGAGTGACTAATATGTCCTCTGTCCTACTGTTGAACAGGACAGTGTTTTTGAACTTAACATTCCAGTAGGAAAGATTGACAGGAAAGAAAGAATAGGGTGACACATACCTAGGGGGGTGATTTCTCGCTTTCTATCTCTCTCTCTGTCTGTCTGGCGAGCACACGTGCCCTATAGCAAAAACCGCTCCAAAAAAAAAAAAAATTTGACCAGAGAGGAACAGAGCGCAGGAAAGTGAGAAAGTCAGTCACCGGGTCCAGGACTCGAACTGTGGTTGGCCATGCAGGAGTCCAGCACCCTTAACCACTACTCCACTTGCCGGCCCCTAAAAAGAACTTTTAAATGAAGTGTAATCCTAAGGATACAACTAAAAATATAGCTTCTGCTTCGCAAATGATGGTTTCCGCTGTATAAGACAAAAATGCAAAGATCAAGAGAAGAAGCTGGAAAACAACAAGTTAAAGAAGTCTGCCATGAGAGCGAGCCTGTGGACACAGCTGGTAGCTATCAATCACTCGTGATTATTACAAGAAAACCTGGCACCTTCTGTGATCATACCCAAATTGTCATCATCATGTCCTACCTCATCTTTTACCGAGTGTCAACAGGGACGGGAAAGGCTATTTGGAATGGGAACTAACATTGAAAAAAATAAAAAATAAAAAGGTTTAAGTACTGGAGGTGGTTGGCTTTGACTTTTTGAAAGGAAACTCCCGTTTTTACCTTTCCAGATGTCTCCATGACTGATAATTTATGTAGTTTCAGGACTAATCTGAAGTCTAGATGAAGAATTAATGGAAAAATAAGAATGGAATTCAAATGCATCTTCAGTTCGCTACTTAATCTTTGGTCCCCGTCCCTCTCGCTAGATCATCTTTCATCTCTCCGCCTGGTCCACGTGTCAGAGATGGAAGCTGTGAGCGCGTCCTGCGAGAGGCCCTCCTCTCTTGTCCTGCTGGCTCTGCCTGGAGAAAGCTGACCCCTCCCTCTCTCAGGGACTTCTCTGGTAGATCCAGCTGGCCCACAATAGCCCTTCTTCCAGGCTGTGGGCCAATGACCCCATCCCGGCTGCCATTCCCACCAGTTATTACAAGTTAGTGGAGGGAAAATAAGATTTAAAGGACCTCCTTGCATGAGGAGGTGGCTGTCTCTCTGTTTGCTACATCGAGAATCAGGCAGGTAGCTAACCAGAAAGCAGCGCATGGCGGTCTTCGGCTGTGTTGTCTCCAGCTCATCCTCATTTCTCACTTGGGGCTGTCACGACATTTCATTTTCTTTCTACAGAGCCTTTTTGGGAGTTTGGTAACTGGTCACTTTGTTCTGCCACCTGTGGCCCCTTGGGAGCCCGCGTTCAAAGGCCCCGATGTGTGATGGCCAATGGGCAGGAAGTGAGTGAGGTCCTTTGTGGTCACCTCCAGAAGCCACTGGGTGGATTTCAACCCTGCAACATCCGGGACTGCCCCACAAGGTATGTGAAGTCACTTAGCTTATTGCACTCATAGTATTTTTTGCTGTTTTAAGAGGAGCAGTAATCTGAACATAACTCTACAGCTAAGACTTACTCAGCACTTATTCTGGACCGGGCATCTTGCTAAGTACTTTCCATGGACCCCTTCACAAAATAGCTGCCATGAAGCATGTTCTTAGAAGGGCTGTCAGTATTGCGTATCTAACTGACGCGTCTCCCAGCTCCCAATTTAATACCCAGCAGGAGGATCTCATGCTGAGTCATGCCTGGGAAAGCAGCAAATTCCTGCCTCAGTAACTAGGAAGGACCTGATCCAAGAATGCTACCTGATGGCAATTCTTGGTGTTCACAAAGTAGAGAGAATCCACACTGGGAAATTTATCAGCAACCTTGTCCATTAAATATTCTCAAGCCTTTACACACGCCTATTATGAACAGACTTTCTTACCTACAAGAGACCATGGAGGTGGGACCAGCAGTTAGTGTAATGGCTATGTCGCTGGACTCCTACGTAGTTGACCGCGGTTCGCGTCCCAGACCTGGTGGCTTAAACTCACGCCGGACGCGTGTGCGTGTGTGCCCAAGATCCCGAGAGGAGAATGGAGGAGAAGGGATTGCGGTGTGGCCATCCCCCTGGGGGGTGGTTTCTAGCTTTCTGTCTCTCTCTGTCTCTCTCTGTCTGTCTGACGAGTGCACGTGCCCTATAGCAAAAAAAAAAAAAAAACCTCTCCAAAAAAAAAGAGACCATGGAGGTCATCTTATCTCATATTCCTCTACATCAAGGGTCCTTAACCTTTCTGTGCAATAGCCCCTTCACGTAGCCCAGATACCTTGAGGATATCCTCTGAGAAGAAGGTTTTTAAATATATAAAATATAGGGCTAGCCCCATGGCTCTGTGGTTAAGGGAGACAGATCCTACAGGGCCACCCAGGATCAAATCCTGACTTCAGCAGCTTGAAAAGCATTCTGTGTATGTGTTTGGGTGTGCACGCATGCCCTAAATCCTGACAGGTCAGAGAAATGGAGAGAAAGGATTGCTATGTGACCTTGTCCCATTGTAGGGGTATATTTTATCTCTCTTTATCTCTGTCTCTCTGGCAGGTGCATATACCCTTATTTTAAAAATAATTTTATTTTAGAGAGATTTTTCCTATAGGGAGCATGCACTTGCCAGAAAGACAAAGAGAGACAGAGAGAAAGCAAGAAATCACCCACTGGGGGGAGGGCAACGCCGCAATCCCTTTTCCTCCATTCTCTCGGGATTTTGGGTATGCACGCACACGTGCCTGGCGTGAGTTTAAACCACCAGGTCTGGGGCTCGAACTGCAGTCAACTACATGGGAGTCCAGCGACATAGCCATTATGCCAACTGCTGGTCCTGTAAAAAATAATTTTAAAAGGTGATTTGAAAAATAAAAAAATGGGTCAGCAGGTGGCATGGTCATTAAGGTAGAGGCTTCCATATGGCCAAATGTGTGGTTTGAGTCCCAGACTAGGTGGTTTGAAAAACACACCAAGCATGTTTGTGGGTGCCCAAAAATGCAGCAAGGAGAATGGAGGGCAAGGTATTGCAGCATGGCCATCATCCCTGGAGAGTGCTTTCTCACTTGCCCTCCTGCTGTGTCTATCTCTGGCAAGCATATGTACCTAATAGCAAAAAAAAAAAAAGTAATTAAAAAAATAAAACACAGGACCAGCATTTGGCGTAATAGTTGTTACATCCCTGGACTCCCATGTAGTTGACCACAGTTCAAGTCCCAGATCTAGTGACTTAAAACTCATGCCAGGTGCATGTGCGTGTGTGCCCCAAATCCCGAGAGGAGACTGGAGGAGATAGGACTCTGGTGTGGCCTTCCCCGTTGGGGGGCGATTTCTTGTTTTCTGTCACTCTGTCTCTCTCTGTCTCTCTCAAGAGAGCACACGCACCCTATAGCAAAAACCTCTCTGTTAAAAATAAATAATACAAAATAAAATAAAATACATTGTAATTACAAAGGAAATCGATTATATTGAAATATAGTTATTGAAATATTTTTAAAATGTGTGCTATAGAAAAGCTCTATCTCTATTAACATACTAAATAATACGATCTAGTTGTACTTGAATTTTGAAATGCTGATGAGAATAAATGATATTTTGAGGTTCCTGCCCCAACTGTAATATGATTCTATTGGTAATAAAATCATAGGTATAAATAATGCTAGTTTGTAGTCTTATGGTTTCTTCCATTCTTTTTTTTTTTTTAGAGAGAGATTTTTACTATAGGATGTATTACGCTCCCTGAAGAGTCAGAGAGAGAGAAAGCAAGAGACCACCCCCCAGAGTGGATGGCTACACCACGATCCCTTCTCCATTCTCCTCTCGGAATTTTGGGCATGTACACACATGCCCAGTGTGTTTCAACTCTCTGGTTCCGGGACTCGAACTGCAATTTGCCACATGGGAATCTAGCACCTTAATCAGTATGACACCAGCTGACCCCTGGCCTACATTTCCATAACTGAAAGAAATAACTAAATTTCAGTTAGAGCTTAGTGACAACGAAGACGTCCCTTCATTTCCCCATCCAATTCTGTGGTCTCCTTGGGTAAACACGGGCGTCAGGTTGGAACTCCCTGGTCTGCAGCAGCTTAACCCTTCTTCAGTGACAAGACACCCAGTGTCTCAAAGGCATCTGGCTCCAAGTGCAGTCTCCAATAATCATGAAAGCATAAGCTTCGGGTCAGATGAATCTAGACCCCAACCCAAGACCTATTGGCAGGTTAGTTGTCTGACCACAGCCAAGCTATTTAACCCCCTGGACATCCGTTTCTTCCCTGTAAGGATGGGAGTAACGAGAATTAACTGAGATAACAAGGAATATCTTACAGAGTGAGCAGCGTAGCGGTTTTGTTAGGAATATTTTTCTTCCCTTTAGTTTCAGTGAATTGAAGTTGCCTTTGTCAAATGCCCTCCCATTTTGTCCTAGCCCTACATCCACACATGAATGACAGCTGCTCGTAAACTTGAAGCCTGTTCTGTCTGACCCTGATACTGGTGGTCTCCATGTGGGGGAGGGAATCTGAGGCTCTAAGGCTGGGAGTGATCGATGCTGCTCTCCACTCTCTGGAGCATGTGACTGCCCTCACGTAGTCCTGGTGTGAAAATCAACTTTTCCTTTTGACGACAGCCCCTGGAAGGTGTGGCATTCCAGTCCTTACTAAGGTCCTGTAGTTTTTGTTCCTAGGTGGTTCTCAAGTGTGTGGTCAGAGTGCTCCGTGTCTTGTGGTAAAGGATTCCATAGTCGGCAAGTGACGTGCAAGCAGACAAGAGCCAATGGGACTGTCCAGGTGGTGTCTCCAAGAGCGTGTGCCCCTCAAGATCGGCCTCTGGGAAGGAAGCCGTGTTCCAGTCATCCATGTGGTCAGTGGGCCATCGAACCAGGGAGCCAGGTAAAGTAACCACTCGAGTGCACTGACAACACGATTTATCATCTTTGCCTTATTTCTTTTTAAAATATTTAAAGAATTATTTTATTTAACTTTATTTACTTATTTTAATTTGACCAGAGTGAGAGAGCAAGAGAGAGAGGGAAAGTGAGAAAGCAAACCGCCAGGTCTAGGACTTGAACTGCCGTCAGCAGTGTGGAAGTCCAGTGCCCTTAATCGCCATGCCTCCTCCTGGCCCCAATCTTTGCCTTATTTGCAGTCAACTTTTTTTTTGGTTTTTCGGGGAAAAAGCCTGTTTAGTCTCTAAAATGAATGGATGTTAGGGTCACAACACTCCCCAAATTTATCTATAGCTTCAACACACTTTCTATCGAAATAGAATTCCATCTGGCTTCCTTACAGAAATTGACAAGCTGATTCTCAAATTTGGAGAGAAATAGAAGGGGCCCCCACACAGAATAAAGGTGGAGGACTCAGACTTCTTGATTCCAAAACATATTGCAAAGCTGCAGTCATCAGGGCAGTGTGGTACTGGTATGAGATAGACACGGACCAGTGAAATAAAATTGAGTCCTGAAATAAACCCACAAATGGTAAGTGAAGGCAGACAGGCAGGAGGGGCCCACCTACTGTGTGATTCTGTTTATACGAGGTGTCCAGAATAGGTCATAGGTCATCTACAGAGACAAAAAGTATGATGGTGGTTGTCTAAGCCTTGAGGGAGAATAATGGGAAAAATGGGAGGTGATGGTTGCCAAAGGGCGTGGGTTTCTTTGGGGGATGATGATGTCATTCTAAGATTTATGATGTTAAAATTGACTTAACTCTAAAAACCCGTTAAATGGTAAACTGCATGCATGTGAGTTAAATCTCAGTAAAGATGTCCACAGAAGACAAAGAAAATAGTGCCGGGGGGGAGTGGTTAATTTATACAAAACAAACATCATGTCTGGCACTTGTGCGCATGTGCCCAAAGTCCCGAGAGAAGAATGGAGGAGAAGGGATTGCAGGGTGGCCATCCCCCCGGGAGGTGACTTCTCTTTTCTGTTTCTCTGTCTCTCCAGTGAGCGCACACACCCTATAGCAAAAATCTCTCTTAAAAAAAAGAAAGGAAAAGAAGCTAAGTGTTAAAAATAACGAAATGCCAGGACCAGCAGTTAGCGTAATGGCTATGTCACTGGACTCCCATGTAGTCGGCCGCGGTTCGCGTCCCAGACCCGGTGGCTTAAAACTCATGCCGGGCGCATGTGCGTGCGTGCCCAAGATCCCGAGAGGAGAATGGAGGAGAAGGGATTGCGGCGTGGCCATCCCCCCTGGGAGGTGATTTCTCGCTTTCTATCTCTCTGTCTCTGTCTGTCTGGCGAGTGCACACGCCCTATAGCAAAAACCTCTCCAAAAAAAAGAATAAAAAATGAAATGCCAATAGAAATGTCGTGGTGGGGAGACTTTTTCAAGCATAAAACATATCAGAAGGAAAAATTATTAGGCGTCACGACTGTGTAAAAATATAAGAACCACGTGTCAATTTTTTTTTTTCTTGTACTTAGACTCACCTTAACACATAAGCCTCTATTTTTGCTCAGAGCAGAAAAACCCAAACTTGGCAGTCACTTGTGGTTTTAAACATAGTCATTTCCGGACTTCAGCTCAATCCGTTCAAGATTTGTTCTGTCCTTTTCCCTTATTCCCAGAGGTGGTCTAAATTTGAGGGAGGGATCCTGAGGCATCTTCTTGGCTCTGAAGGAGGACTGCCTGGTCTGCAGAGCTGTGCTCTCATCCTGACGTCCCCCCAGGACAGCTGGTCCCTTGGGACTGGTCTGCGGCCACCCTGCCCCAGTGCAGGATCTTGGTGCACACGGCCTGCTTGAGCTGACAGGACTGACACTCCTTGTGCTTTTGTTCCAGAGTCCTGGATGCTGCCTGGGTCGTGCAGGGAGGATGCAGCAGCACCATGCAGCTTGTCAGCCCCACAACGGCTCTGATTCCACCTGTGATGACCAAAGGAGGTACTGCCCACTCCGGGACACAAACTTTCCCGCCTCGGTCCGTGACCTTAACTGCCTGATGGTGGAGTGATCTCTACCTTCTAGCACTTCTCATCATTGACAATTCCTACTAAATTATTATTTGTTTAGTGCCATCCTCGAAAGTATACATTATACTGAAATAGGAGTTAATATGCACTGTTTACCATTACAAATCGTTTGGAGGTTAAACAGAGAGAGATGCTACCCTAAAAGGGAGGGGGAGGTGGCATTGAGAAGACACAGATAATTTTCTCTGTATACAAAGTTGGTCAAGCCTAATCATATTTCATTGGGGTTTACAGATTATAATCTTCCTAATGTTTTCAGTGAACTGCTTTATTCCTCTGTTTAGAAACTCTTTTGATTAGAATACTGGCATGGTGGTTTACCAGAGAGTGAAATAAATTTTTATCTTGTGAAGGGGCTTAAACAAGAAAATACTTTGCTTTTCCCTTGTATAGTACTCTGAGCTGGTAGAGGGTTTAGGGTTTGAAGGGCTCTGTTCATGAGATCACCTAGAACTCAGACTCCTCCCATCCCCAGGGGTAATTTCCCACCAGCAGAAGGCAGGGAGAGAGCTCCGAGGCATGCTACTGAGGGGCTTTGCCTTCTAGCACTCTCTCATTGTGGACTTTGGACTACCTAGCCCCTGAAATCTGCAAGGTGGGGCATCATCATCCACGTGGGCTCAGGGCTGCACAGTTCTACTTAGTTAGCACAGCTTGAAGTGCAGTGTGTGTCACTGATGGAGCTCAATACTGGCTATGTCTTCCTCCTCCACATCCTGAGTCTTGCTGGAGAAAATGGAATGACCTTGACAGTTGGCTCGCTTTCCATTGTGAGCCCTCAGTACGGTTTGGCAACCGGAGAGGGAGCGGCATTTCCTATCCCCACAACGCCATTTCAAGCCAGAATCATTCTCTTCAAATGGAAAATGTTTGAAACAGCTGCTCTCGTTCTCCACAGGCAAACCTCATTTCCTGGTTTGCTGAAAAGATAGAGACCACACGCAGATGGGTGTGTAGCGTCCCAGATGTTTACTTCGCGTTCACAAAGATGTATTTACAACACAAATATATATGTGAATTGAGCTTTATTTTTAACACACCATACATATTTTCCTGAAACATGCTTTTATTTGTTGAGAATATGTTGTAGATATATATATTTTTTTTTGGTCCAGCGTGGGACACACAAAGGTTCACTTTATTCTTTTCAATTTAATATTTAATATTCCATCACTGATGGACATTTGATAGTTTCAGATTTTTACTGTTATAAACAAATGTTGTGGTAAACACCCCAGAATATGTATCTTTGTGCACGAAGGGTTAATATTTTTAGAGGGTAGATTTTTAGGTATGGAATTAAATTGGTGGGCATGTTCATTTCGATTCTACATGACACCACACACACACACACACAAATCTCTGAAACAACAGTGAGGGAGAGTTACCCCTTTTTCCATCAACATAATGTAAGTGTTCCAACTTTTAAACATTTTGCCCAGCTGATGGATGAAAATGATATTTCATTGTAATTTGTACATTTCTGATGACCTATTACATGTTTGTTGACTCTTTGGATTTTATTTTTTCTGGAACCCATCTCTTTTCCTTTTCTACAATCTTCCTTGGCCGAGCCACTGTCGCCTCACACCTGGTCCATTGCCACGGCCGTTCAACTTCTTCCTTCATATCCATCCATGCTTCTTTCCAACCAGGCTCCACACTGCAGCTGCGGGGAGTTTTACTCACACGCAAAGCTGATCACACCACCACCACAATCCATCTCCTTGCTAGATGAAAATCACTTAAGAGGCTTTACTTGCCCTTAGGAAGAAGACTGACCAAAATCCTTAATGTGGCCTATGAAATACCACACACTCAAGTCCTGCTTCCCTTCGGAGCCTTTTCCAAGACCTCACCCTCACTCTTTCTGTTCCAGCCGCACTGTTCTTTCAGCTCCTTGGATATGTCCTCTACTTTCCAATCAAAGCAGCAGAAACAAGAGGCAGAAAATATAGTAGAGAAGATAAGAGGCATGCAAGGGTCTACCAAGATGCTCAAACTCTGAGTAAACGGGGTTTTAGGTTAAAAGATACATAACGTGAAAGAGTGGACATTTATTTTAAATATTAGGAGGAAATTCCTGGAGCTGGGGCGAGGAGAAGAGAATCAAGTTACCGTTCATTTTCTCTCTTATTTCTCTTAACTCCCGGGTTGGCTGCTCTGTTTGTATAACCTGGTGCTTGTCTTTCATGCTGTTATGTTTCCTCAAATATCTGGTGGTTTGGGGATGAAGGACTAAGCTGGCCAGTGCAGAGAGTTGTTGAAGGTTTCTTTCACTGTTTTATGGCCTCAGTATGCACACAGACCTCTTCTGAACTGGTGTGCAGACTATGGCTCTCTGGTGGTAGATGGGGTGTTAAACTTCTCTGCAAAGCACATAGATAGGGAACCTCCACTCCCACCCTGATTCCATAGCAGGTCCTCAGCAAATGTTAGAGGGTGTTTTATAAAGAGTAATATTAGTGACTGTGGATAGAAGGTCAGAGATGGGCGGACTGTCTGTTAGTCCTCCTATAGGCCTGGGAAGGACTTGGGAGGTGTGGCTTCTATAGGGAAGGGCTGTAGAGGAAGTTGGAATTGTCAAAGTAGAGCTAGCCCAGACTTGCGGCAAGGTGATGTGGGGACCTACGGAAATGCCAAAGATCCAGAAAGTTTATTTCCCAAATTGATAATTCCTAATCTAGCCAAGAGTCAGAACTACCTGGGAATTTTCTGTGAGATTGATTCTTGGCCTCCCCTCATCTGACCTAATGAATCAGAACCTTCAGAAGATTGCCTAGAGTCTACGTCTATTAAAGCTGCTCACGGCTGCCTATTTCTTTCTTTTTTTTTTTTCTTCTCGCTTATAGGGTGCGTGCGCTCGCCAGACAGACAGAAAGAGACATAGAGACAGAAAGCAAGAAATCACCCCCCAGGAGGGATGGTCACGCCAGAATCCCTTCTCCTCCATTCTCCTCTCGGGATCTTGGGCACGCACGCACACGTGCCCGGCGTGAGTTTTAAGCCACTGGGTCCGGGACGTGAACCGCGGTCGACTACATGGGAGTCCAGCGACATAGCCATTACGCTAACTGCTGGTTCCCACGGCTGCGTATTTCTGATAACCAGATGGGCGTGGGATTGACTGCTCTCAGCATCAGCAGTGCTACCTGGCTGATGGTGAAGGGACTTCTTTGAGGCTGGGGTGGAGCCAGACTGAATAGAAATGAGAAATTCAGAAAAGCTCGTAGAATGGGTTTCTTTTTTATTCTTGCTACCATTTCCGTATTTGTGTTTTCATGCAAAAAATACCACGAGTCCTAATTATGTGTGTAATGTCTGTGCCCAGACTGTGTCTGTCTGTCTCAGGACAGGTGTCCTTGTCCTGAGTCCTGTTCCTGGCCAGGGGGAGTGATGCTCTTACATTCTTTTCCTGTGTCCATAATGACTAGCCTCTGAGCTGTCCTGGGCTTCAGCCTCTGTGCTGGGCTGTTGTTCTCTGTACCCTCTCATCCTTTAGATTTAGAGAGCTCTGTAGGCTCTTCTGCCTCCCTCTGGCCCTGCCTTCCTATGGAGCAGAAGTTGCTGTATTAGTTAAGTTCTTAGGGCTGAGAACAACAGTCAACTTGAAATGACTCATGCACAGAAGGCAAGGCATTTCTTCATAAGACCATCCAATCCTTGTGCACAACAATTTGATATCCTTCTAAGTACAATCTTTGTATATTCTTTGAATATTTGATCAATTTTTTCAGTAGAGAAGTTGATCTCTGTGTAAGTCAATGGTTGAGGAATGATCAGTTTGTGCTCTGTTCAGAGCAACTCAGCTTTGGCCCCTAAGATTCTTACTGGGGAAAAACAAAAGCAGTCCACAGGACACCTTACCTGGCCCTAGAAACCTTGTAAATAGTTTGGTGAGACAGAATTATTGAAGAAACCCTTTGATGGTGTCTCCCCCTACTGGCTCATCCAAATATCACCTCCAGCTCTGTGTGATACTCTGATTTAGAGAAATCCAGGTTGCCACAATTTTCTGCATTTTACTACATTTCCGGAGGTGTTTCAGTACTCCTCATACATTTATGTGCCCTGAGAAGGAGCATTTAACAGGAACACAAAAATATCTCAGAGAATCCAAAGGGAGAATACAGTCAGACTGCAGGAAGGACTGCAACCAAGAAATGAGAAGTCATTGTTTATTCTCTTCATGGTTCTGTGTATTTCTGCTCCAATTCTTTACTGTTTCCAAAAAGTGTATTTCCTGTATACCTGAGCCACGAGGCAGAACATGGTCACCACTACTCCAAGCTCCAGGTGTACACATCTTATTCCAGCAACCTCCCAGTTCCTCAGAGATAGCTCCATCATCTTTTCCCCATCATCCTTGGGGGTGAGAAGACATTCCTGGGCAGCACAAATACATCTGCCAGGAGCCCTGCCTGCAGACCAAGGGCAGTACCCCAGGGTGGGTCCACTGAAGGGGCTCTACTCTCCCAGGTAAATATTTTTTTTTCGAACATCAAGAGGTATTAATATTCTGCTCTGTTTTAAAGGGCAAGGAAATTATAGGTAGATTCCTCTTCCCAATGGTTTCCGGTAGTTCCTGACTGCGAGTCTTGGCATGGCCTAAGTATAGATGTACGAGTACTTCTCTTAGCAGGGAAGATTGCTCCAATATATAAATCTATATTCACACCAGACCAGGTTTCAGGTGCTTATAAACAGGAAACTTCGGGTTTAGCGTATCCGACGTGGTCTATTATGGTCTTTATAGGAAACCTCTGCTTCTCCTAAATGGATCTGCTCCAGTTTATCCAGACAGCATGTCTTCTGATGTGCGTGCCTTGGCTTGGTGTAGGAAGTCAGCGGAAATGCATGGTCTACTCAGCTGGCAGCCTCTGTCAGAGCACATCTGGACAGGGACACTCACCTCCAGCTCATGAGGCATGCTGTCACAATCTTCTTAGACTGTAGGCCATGGCAGGGGTGGGGAGCTATCTGGGTCTTACAATGAGAGAGTCTAAGATTAAGACATGGTATACCTACCTTCAATCAGGGAGAAAATCCTTTCCTAGGGCCAAGAACACATTTGTAACAATCCACTCACCTCCTCCCATGGAATTTTCCTGTGTCAACTTACATTGTGAGCTCTCGCTATTGACCCTTCTCTTAGATGCTGTGACGTCATCCTGTCTCATACCGTGGTAACTTGGTCACGTGTTGACTCCCATCATATAGTTTGGAACTTTTTTTTTTTTTTTTTTTTTGGCATTTGGGGTATATTTTGTCCATTTCTACTTTCTCATAGCCGTGTGCCTAACACACAAAATCAAGTTTATCGCATTGAGCTTTTCTAAAATAGATCTTCCCCTTTATCCCTTCATTGTGTAACTGTGACAGTTTCCAGAACCTTCTTAATCTATCTGGGCTCTTTTGGGTGGACTGTAGGCTCATTTTCAATGGCTTGAGATTTTCTACATCTTGAAGTACTCTCGTTACGTCTGTTACGGTCATGCCTCTGCTACAGTGTTACTTTGCTTAGCCACCCATGGACAGCGCAGATCCGTGTCCTGATAACGGAGTCCTAATTGTCAAACCCTTAGTACCTGGGATATGCGGTAAAGGCTTCATCCTAGCAAGAAGTGACACCCTGCCTCTCCTCTTTTCCATCTCTTTTTCCCCTTCATTTCAGACCCACCTTTAAGAGGAACTGCACACTGGGGGCCTGTGACGTGTGTTGGCGTGCAGGCCCTTGGAGGCCCTGCACGGCAGCCTGTGGCCGGGGCTTCCAGTCTCGGAAGGTGGACTGTGTCCACACCAGGAGCTGCAGACCTGTGGCCGAGAGACACTGTGTGCAGAACCAGAAGCCAGCTTCCTGGCAGCACTGCCTCGGGCCTTCCTGTGACAGTATGTACTCCTCTCAGGTATCACCGCTGCCTGCCTTGTCAGTGTTGTATCAGAGGGGCCACTCACAGTGGGTGTGGTAGTTGGGGACAGTCCATTAACTTTTCTTCTTTTTTAATTGCCAGAGGGTATCTACGCTCACCAGAGAGGGACAGAGAGTAAGAAGGAGGGAGAGGTTAGAAGCACCCCCTCAATAGGGCATGATCATGCCACAGTCCCCTCTCCTCCATTTCTCTGTCCTGTTAGGATTTGGGGACACACACCCCACATGCACATATATCTGACATGTTTTCCAAGCTCTCATGGCCAGGATTCCAGGTGTTCAGCCATGTGGGAATCCAGCTCCATTAACCCACTAGGCCACGGGGCTGACCCAGGAGCTCCTTGATGTGTGAAAAACTCAGTGTTCTCTAGAGGAGAAAAGAGGTGAATCAGCAGTGTGCAGTCGCGTTACTCTCTGCCTTCTCAGTCAGCACTGGCAGCCGCTCCCCACACTTTCCTTCTGCCTGGGGGCCCCCTCTGTTAAGACAGATTTTATAGATGGCCTTGTGTAGGTACGCACATGTCCTGAAACTACTGTACATTTTAAGTGTGTGTTGATGGTTCTAGGGAGTAGATCCGTACCTTTCATAAGGTTTCCAAGAGGTCCATGACTGTGTAAAAATTACGCTCTACTCTGAGCACTGAGAGGAGTAGCGCAGACCGGAGGGACTGGAAGGTCCCCAAGAACAACGAGAGGCCATTTGACTGAGCAGAGCAGAGAGTCCAGGACACTATGACTAGTGCAAAGCAATGGTCCCAACCTCGGCTAGTTTCTGTACTTCCTTCTGGGAACTTGACTAAGGCTTTTCATAAAAGCAAACCTTTTCTTTTCTAAAAAACTAGGTCTTTCATGAGCCATGTATTATGGATTTTTTTCCTTTTTTTTTTTTTCTTTTCAGGAGACTGCACAGACACAACCCACTACTGTCAGTTTGTAAAGCATCTTAACTTGTGTTCTCTAGCCCTCTACAAACAACGGTGCTGCCAGTCCTGTCGAGAAGAGTAAGCGATCGGAGAGTCACGATGCTGCTGTGAACCAGAACGGAAAACACTACAAAGCTCTCTCCCCCACGTCACTGGTTCAAAACCATGTTGCTTCCTAATAGTCTCTAGAGTCCACCATCAAATGGAGTTCCATGCAAGAAGACCAGTTGAAGTTGTGTGAAGACATTTTCCCATGGTCAGCTTTTCATTTCGAGTCCTTTTAAATGATTTAAGATCAGCCAACCAACCATAGCACACCTGGCATGCACTCGGGAGCTCTCAGAGTCTGTCTGATCAGGAAATCGGCAATGTCGTGAGCACGTCGTCACATGCTGCGTCTTTCCTGTGATGTGTAGACTAGCACAGAGTAGTACGTGTTAAAGACTTGGGAAACGCAGCAACTGGTGGCTTCCTCTTCTCTCAAGTTGAAGGGATTCAACAGGTTTCTAAGATATGTATTGGGTTGTCAGAAAAGTCGTGATGGATTTTTGCATAGAGAAACACGTCATGACTTTTCTGATTACCCACTACGTTTTAGAAGCACCAGCAGGTAGTTGTGAAGATGTTGGTGCTAATGGCTTTTTCACAGGTCCTCAAACTAGAGGACCTGTGAAAAAGGAGACAGTCTTCCCTGGACAGGCTGATGACACTGACTGACCCAAGGATTCAAGAGGATGGCCTCTCATCCTTGCTCCTAAAACACCCATGAGAGAAAATTCAGAGTCTGTATCGCTGCCATTTTCACAACTACAGAAATACATCTGTGACCAAATGAGGCATCTTGGAAATCAAAGAAGAGGGAAATTTAACCTTTTCTACTGTTTTTAAACTATGTTCAAAGCTTTCTTGCAAGATCTGTGAAACTGTGTAAGCACTATTCTCTTGCACACTAACACACAACCAAAGCCTTACTAGACCTAATTTATGCATAAGATCATATTCCTGAGGATTTTTATTGTGGAAGATTTATAAGAAAGTGATCTAAATAAACATGATAGTCGAAAAGAATTGTTTATAGTGAAGAACTGCTTGAATTTGAGCTGACTTTTCAGGAAATCCAAAGCGAATTACAGTTAGGCTGGAAGTTCCATTTAGGACTAGGGGCTAGAGTTAGGATTTGGGGAAAAGTATCCGGCTTTGCTTTAGTTTAGGATTAGAGCTAGAGTTAGCTAGGTGAGAACAGAAGTTAAATTAGGCTTAAGGCTAGACTTAGCTTTAGGGTTAGGGTAAGTTAGATCAGGGTAGGATTGGGTTTAGATTTGGGTCGCTGCTGGTGCTAGCGATCGTGTCAGAGTGGAGGGTCAGTTTGGAGGAAATGCTGCTGAGTAGGTTCAGGCTGGCATTAAATGCTAGTACTAATTTGGTCAGGGACAATTCCCCTGTATGCTACTAGTTAGGCCTTCAAATGGTACACAGCCCCCAGGAAGTGGTCAAACACCCTTATTCAGTGTCCCAGGTGCCTACATGCAGCTGCCTACAGCCTGTCAGCAAGGACATTCCCTGAAGCTGGTCATGCTGGGCCTGGTCCCTGGTCCATCAGAAGGGAAGAGCTTACTTCGGCTTTGGATCTGTCTGTGGACAAGCTCGCTGAGTCTCTCTGCCGTATTCTGAGCTCCAAGTCTCTTCTGTTCTAACTTCAGCCTCACTGACACTGGGATGAGCACTACTGTATGTGGAGGGTGTGGTGATTGGGAACGGATGGGGGGAAGTAAAGAGGACACACCAGCCCACGAGTTGTTAATCACCAATCACATCTGACTGTTGAAGGTTATTAAATTAAAAGAGAGATCATTTGTAAAATACTCTTTGTATATATTTATTATATGACTTAAAGGTGCAATATTTTATTTTGTACAGTATGTAATAAAGACATGGGACATATATTTTTCTTATTAACAAAATTTCTTATTAAATGTCTTCACCTTCATATTTAAAGTTCAAAGTTACTATTTTCATTTGCTATTGTACTCCTGTCTTGTTATCATTCAAATGACGTAATGTATTTTACTACTGTTTTTATAACATGAGAATTAATGTTTCTCTTTCATGATCCTTAAGTAATTCAGAAATAAATTTTCTTTGGTTATTCAGTGGCATCCTTCTCAATGCAGCTTATTTGTGTGTGTATTTTTTTTTTTTTTTGTAGCTTTGTTTTTTTGTCTCCTTGGTTGCTTCCCCAGGTACAAACCCCAGGGTCAGTGTCCTGGACTGTTCTTTGGAGTGTCAGTTACAAGATTCAGAGCGGATCTCAGAGACATTCACTCTGATTCCCTCATCCCAGTCATTTACATCCTGCAAGTCATATTTAGGAGAACGTCAAAAGCAGAAGAGGTGGAGAGAAGTCCCAGACAGCCTGAAATTGGTGTAGTAAGCATGTGGTACTATAGGGGGGGTCATCGAGAAAGTCATGATGTCTTTTTTTCTGTGCAAAAATGCCCTTCCTGTAGGCCCCATCCCAACACTTTGTAACTCCAACATTACCAACATTCCCCACTGAAGGAAATATTTGTTACACGTGGTGAGCCTGTATCGGAGACATCATAATAACCCAAAGCTCAAAGTTTACATTAGGTTTGCTCTTGGTGTTCATTCTGTTGATTTGGACAAATGCATAATGACATGAAGGTTTCACAAAATATCTTACAAAGTAGTTTCACTGACTTAAAAATCCTCCTTGCTCTGACTGTTCACCCTTCCTCTCAGACCCTCAGGCCCTGGCAACCACTGATCTTTTTATTTTGTGTCTAAGTTTTTTCCTTTTCTGAGAATGTTAATATATAGAGTCATCAGAAAAGTCACGATGCCTTTTTGCATAGAAAAACATAGAAAAAAATCATGACTTTTCTGACAACCCAGTCGTTGGAATCATATACTGCAGTCTTTTCAGATTGGCACCTTTCACTGAGTAACATGCGTCGAAGGTTCTTCCATGTCTCCTCATGGTTTGATAGCTCATTGCTTTTTAGCACGAAATAATTTTCTGTTGGCTGGAGGTACTGCAGTTTATTCATTTACCTACTCAAAGTCATTTTGGTTGCTTCCTGGTTTTTGGCAATTATCAATCATGCTGCTATAAACATCCATGTGTAAGTTTTAGCGTGGACATGTCTTCATTTCCTTTGGGTAAACACCCAGTACAACTGCTGCATTATATGGTAAGAGTATGTTTAATTTTGTAAGGAGCTGACAGCGTGTCCCAAAGTGGCGGTACCATTTTGCATTCCAACCAGCAATGAATGAAAATTCCTGTTACTTCACCTCCTTGCCTACATTTGGTAGTCCAGTGTTCTGGACTTGAGCCATTCTAATAGGTGAGTAGCAGTACCTCCTCGTTGTTTTAATGAGCAGTTCCCTAATGACATCTGACGTGAGACATCTTTTCACATGCTTATTTGCCATCTGCGTGTTTTGTGTTTGGTGCTATATCTATTGACTTTGACTTTAGTATTTAGCTCTTTATTGTTGAATTTTTGGCAGGTTGTATATTTTGGACATATTTTCATCTCTCTGCTTAAATTTCCTATCTGTTCTTGCACGTTATCTACTATATCCATTAGAGCCCTTGGCATACTTGTCCCAGTTAGAAGTTCCTAAGCTGAAAATGCCAATTATCCTGCTATGTCTGCTTCTGAGGCTTGCTATCTTTTCAAATTGTGTTTTTGTCCTTTAGTATATCTTGTAATTTTTACTTGTGGTCAGACGTGATGTACTAGGTAAAAGGAACTCTATTTTCATGCCTGTTGGATTGAGTATTAGAATAAAGGAAGACACCATAATTTTTCTTTGTGTCTTCAGCCTATACAGATCACCTCAGGCAACTCCAGTAGATGTCTTATTGAGGGTGACCTTTGTTCAGAGGGCAGACATAACCACATCCAATCACAGAATTTAAATATCCAGCACTGGGAGATGCACTAGGACAACAGAGTGCTGTAGTACTTCCTAATTTTAAATTTTGATTACATAATGCTTTCTATTAAAAAAGTAAGATGTCTACTTACATCTAGGTTAACTTAGGACTTTATTAAGACTCTCTTTTTTCCAAAAAGAAAGTTGAGTATGGAAATTATTTCATGAAAATCCATTCCTTTTATTGATGCTTTATTAATGTTGCATAAAAATATAAAACTTTACATATCACACTTTCACTAATAAGTGCAAATGTAAATAAGAACTACTGTCAAATAATTAGAAATATTACAACCAAATCTTGATACGTTCATTGTCAAAGTATGTATTTTGAAACAATTCTGAATTCATGAAGACTAAAATTCACTTATACTAAAATAAAACTATATTCTTCCATAGTGCATTAGAAAAACTAACAAACAAAACGCCAACCCCTACATCCAATGAGAGTTTAATTCTTCAGCACGTTTTCAGCTTTCCGAAGTCCAATACTTTATTTCTACTTCGCTTGTGGGGATCAGTCCTCTTCTCCTTTGTTAGCACTTATCTTCTCCCTGAGACAAGTGAATGAGATGATGTCCCATGCTGGGCCGTTTCTGCTGCCCAGCAGTGAATCTGCACATGGTGAGTAGGTGCAGTTACCTAAATTTACCCTGCATGTTTCTTCAGAAACTGCTCTAGCAAGTACTTTCTCCTTTCTGCCAATAACTGTCATTCAAACCAAGGTATTCACTGAATGCAAGTGCTCCATTCTCTGTAACAACTTCTCAGGTGCTGGTGAAGCCTTAGGGAGCAAGACGCCTCTCAGAGGTACACAGCACTCAGAAGCTCAAAGCAAATTGGGTTATTTTCTAGTTCTTGCTACAGGCCACAAAATGAGTACCGAGCAGGTGTTTACCCTAATTTCAAAAGGAGAAAACAGGTATAGAAAGAGATTATTTATTAAAGTCCTTATACTGTACTTTATGAATTAAAATTTATCATGCGAACTGATGCTAAAAAAAACAAACAAACTTTTTGTGAGGTAGGCAGAACAGATATCCTTTCACAAATGAAGACAGAGAGGCCCAGAGACCTGAGTCACTTGCGTGAGGTGGCACAAATGAAAACTGATGCCAGACTCCGTGGTAGTTGAGGGAGCCAGAGCCCACATGAGGGCTGACTGTGTGGTTTAGGTCTTGGTCCCTGCAGCCAGAGGAACACACCAGGTGTGTGTGTGTACATACCCCCAATCCCGAGAGGATGGAGAAACTGGAGGAGAAAGAATGGTGGTGTGATCATGCCCCACGGTGTGTGTGGGGGGGTACTTTCTCGCTCTCTCTTTATCAAACACGTGTACCTTCTGGCAATTAAAAAAAGAAAGAAAGAAACTCATGTCTTAGAACTTGAACTCAAGCTCAAATCCTGTGATTCCAGGCTTACAGAGTCTTTCCTTGCCCACACCACGGTGCCTCTTGCTAGCCTGAACATGTACAGCAGTCACTGAGGCCACCAGCCAAGACCGTGTATTAACAGATGCCTTGAAGTCTGAGGAAAATGAATCCTACTGTCCTGGAAGAGGAACACATGTATCATTTTCAGTGTTGTTCTTCATAATCCTGATGTACTTAAACTACAACTGATATGTAATAAATAACCATATAATTGCCATAGTTATGAGCAGTGATAATAAATCAGGGACAAGCTATCAAACATTATGTTGGCATTACAATAGTTCATGAATTAAGAATGTTCATTATTCAACCTTCAGAAATGCATATTGAAGAGCAATCTTGAATAAAATGGATTTTAAGATTCTAATGTTGGGGCCAGCAAATGATGAAGTGCTTAAGGCACTGGGCTCCCATGTGGCTGACTGTGGTTCAAATCCCAGACCCGGTGACTTGAAACTCATGCCAGGTGTGTGTGTGTACATGCCCAAAATTCCAAGAGGAGAATGAAGGAGAAAGAATTATGATATGGCCATCCCTTTAGGTGAGTAATTTCTCACTTTCTATCTCTGTCTCTCTGGCAAGTGCACACACCTTATAGCAAAAAATCTCCCACAAAAAAAAAAAATCTAATGTCCTACCATAAATTTCCCAATTTTATCATTTAAAAATTTTAAAAACAGAGCAAGCAGATGGTGTAGTAATTAAGGTGATGGATTTCCAGTGTGACCAGCCTCAGTTCAAATCCCAGACATTGCAGCTTGAAAGTCATGCCAGGCGTATGTGTGTGCACATGCCCAAAATCCCAAAAGGAGAAGGGATTGCCATCCCCCCCAGGGGATGATTTCCCACCTTCCCTCTTTCCGTCTCTGTCCAGCAAGCACATGCACCTTATGGCAGAAACCTAAACAAACAAAAATCTATAAAATGATTTGTTCTATCTTCATACTTCTTTTTTTTCACTGTAAAAATTAGATTTTCCCTTGGAAAGCCTAGTTGCTAGTTGAGTTCATGTTACGTGTGATTTGATTAGAAGGCTTTCACTTTGGGAGTGATCCTGCGGAAAAATTTATGACCTTGAGAATTTGTATTTTCAAATATGTAACCTGGAGGAGTAGGATAGCTAGCTGGACAGATTTCCTGTTTCTTCGGCTTGTACTCTATAGAGTACATGGTTACATCATCAAATGGAACAGAACTCTTAAAAGCAACATTTAAAGGTCTGCAACTCTCTGTTGAAATCAATTCATGTGGCACGTAGTGAGATCTGAAAGTGCTCAAACCATCAAATTTTCCAGATGGGCTGGGAATCTGCTGCTGATTCTTAATGAGTCCTTGACGACAACTTTCCCATGCTGGAAAATCTTCCTTCATGGTGCTTTTTCCTTGGAAAGGAAAATTGTTATTTCTCCTATGAGAAATTGGCCTGATGGGAGCAACACGGTCAGCATGATAAGGAACATAGTCGAGGTGGCTGGTGCTGTTTAACTGCATGCTGCCTGCAGGGGGCACATACTCGGGCACTTGCTTGACTTTAGGTGGTGGGATTTCCCATGGTTGAAACTGTTCACGGAATTCTGTGTTTCCTTCAAACTGAGCATTTGGGGTCACTCTGGTGTGTGCCGGTCTGCAGATTTTTGCAGTCTCGCCAGTAAGACCCTGAAAGTCATGCCGGTGAGTTGTGAGATCCGCAAAGGCTTGGTCAGTTGGCTTATATGCTTCTTTTGGCCTGACAAATCTGAGTTCCAGCTGATGAGGAACATAATCAAGGCGGTGACTCGTGTCACCATTAAAAGGGGCTGTAGAGCGTCTGACCGCAGGGAGGGGTTTAAAGCTTCGCCTCGGCTTTATCTCCCGGGGAATGTAGTCGTCCTGAAATGTGGTCGAATTTCCAAATTTCACAGTCGGGGGATGATACATTTGCTCTGGTTTATACAGTTCACTTTTCTGAATGTCCCAGGCTCTATAATCATCTTAAAAGTTAAAGAAAAATAATAATTAAATGCTGATGAAAACAACCATCTTCTAAAAATCATAACTGACTTATTGCCAAACATCCTTTCACTGCCTTCAGATATCCAAACACGGGTATCGAGTAGGAAATTTCTCTGATTCCTCTCAGAATTCCTTTTTTCCCCCCTCATTTCCACTTTGCTCTGCCTATTTCTCCACTTTAATATGCCTAACTTTCCACTTCCACATTCGTGACACTTACAAGGGAATGACACAGCTGAGACTGCGTAGTTCCGGAAAACCAGTTTTATGTCCAGTTTTCCCAGTCCCGTTTTATTGAAATGATTCTCTCTCCTTTCTCTTTATACAGGTATCAAGTAGGAGCTTTCTCTGATGCGTATTCTTGGCACCCACATTGGAAGTTAGCTAGATGTATATGCGCGTATTTATTTCTGGGCTCTATTCTGTTTCGTTGGTCTGTGTTATCTGTTTTTATGCCAGTCTCATACCATTTTGATTATTGTAGTTTTATAATATAATTTGAAATCAGGATGTGTGATACCTACAACTTTGTTTTTCAAGTTTGCTTTGGCTACTTGGGGTCTTTTTTGATTCCATATGAATTTTAGAATTGTTTTTTTCTGTAAAAAATGTAATTGGAATTTTATTAGCAATTATATAGAATCTTTAAATAGCTTTGGGTAGTACGGACATTTTAATAATATTAATTCTTCCAATCCATAAACATATATTATCTTTCCATTTATTTGTATCTTCTTAAATTTCTCTCATGCTCTGTTATAGTTTTTACTATATAGGTCTTTTTTTACCTTCTTGGTTATCGATTATAAAAATTTCTAAATGTCAACAGTGCTGTAATCCATCTCTCTGTATTCTCCACAGTGGCTAGCACAGAGCAGGGTAATCCCTAAAAGATATCAAATACTGATCTATATTCATCACCTACATTTTAATATGAATGAATTTCTAAGCTATGGCTACTGGGGGCTGATACATTTCTGTCAAGGAGTTCCAGTTTTGTAAAACGACATCTCCCTAACCTAAATGTTGCCTTGGTTACGATCTTGCAGGGTTTTTATTTTTTTTTCCTTATTTCTTCTTTACCATAGCTCATGGCTTTCATCTATCCTCTTAAATCTCAGAGGGAAGAGTCTCCTCCAGTGTGACTGCTCTGAGCTACAGACCTGCCCTTACGTAGGTATGTACAAAGCTGGCAGTATGGTGACACAGAAGGACAAGGGACAGCCTGGGCACTGAGCATTTCTGTTGTCTTGTGCTTTAAAACCTGGAAATACAAAATGGAACCTTTCTTGTCTAAAGCAGGTCAGGAGCCAGGAGAGTAGAAACCCAGCTTCCTTTATCTTGAGTAGAAGTATGTGAGACTCTGGAAACCTAGGCAATGGAAAGCCAGAACTAGTATGGCTGTGTGCACGTGTTGTGTGAAGGTTCATAGCATCAGGGGACAGCAGTATTACTGAATTGTAATAGCTCTTGTAGATTAAAAAATAAAAGAAAGCAAAGGAAATCTTGCATGGTTGTATAAAAGATCAACTACAGTTATTTTCATCAGTTATCTTTTATGTCAAATGTCATGCAATGGAGCCGACAGGTGGCATGGTGGTTAAGGGCGCTGGACTCCCAAATGACCAAACGCAGTTCAAGTCCCAGACCTGGCAGCTTAATTTCTCACTTTCCCTTTTTCTCTCTGTCTCTCTTGTCATATTTTAAAATGATAAAAGATGAATAAAGAAGTAAGTCTTTTTACAAATGTGCAGTATGTCATCTCCTGTGCATGTCAGTAAACCTCAGCAACTACTGGATACTACATTTGATTCTATTTGTTTACCACATGTGTAGTCTTCCTAATTTGTTCCTTACGTAGCATCTCTGTGTTCACATCTTTAAAAAAGCATGATGCACTTTGTTCCTGACCCCTCTAACGGGTAGGCTTATATTAGGCCATTCGGAAAAGTCATGATATATATTTTTCTACGTTTTCCCTGTGAAAGTGCATCATGGCTTTCCTGACAACTCGATAGATCATAGTATATCGATATCAGGCATTTTACTTATCTAGTGAACCAGTACGTGTGAGATTTAAAGGTGTTTTTTTTTGTTTGTTTGTTTTTGTTCTTTTTTTTGGAAAGGTTTTTACTACAGGGTGTGTGTGCTCGCCAGAAAGACAGAGAAACAGAGAGACAGAAAATTCATCCCCAGGGGGATGGCCACACTGCAATCCCTTCTCCTCCATTCTCCTCTCGGGATCTTGGACATGCACCTGGAATGAGATTAAGCCACCAGGTCCAGGACTTGAGCCATGGTTGACTCCATGGGAGTCCAGCGACATAGCCATTATGCCAACTGCTGGTCCCTGTTTTGTTTTGTTTTTAAGAGAGCAAAGGGGTCTTTATATTAACAAATACCCAGGGGCCAGCAGATGACATAGTGGTTACATTGCTGGATTCCCACATGGTCAACTGCAGTTCAAATCCCAGACCTAGTGGCTTGACACTCACACTGAACACTGTGCACACATACCCAAGATCCCAGGAGGAGAATGGAGGAGAAGAGATTGTGGTATGGCCATCCCCCTGGGAAGCAATTTCTCACTTTCTCTCTCACTCTCTCTATCTCCACCTCTCTCTGGTGAGTGCATTCACCTTAAGGCAAAAAACAAAAACAAATAAAAACTCTGAAAAAAAAAAAGATATACTAATTCACCTATTTCACATACTAATTGAAAGAATATAAGCCTATACATACACAATTAAGTTATTAATAAAAGAAGCTATGGAAATATCTACTGTCAAGATAGCCTATTTTTAAAAATTAAGGACCATACTCTCAAAAGTAATAGAGTATTTAAAATCAAGTAAGTTTTTAGAGAGAAAAAACCTGCATTACGCAGCTCCTACTCTTTTTTTTAATAGAGATTTTTGGTATGGGGTACATATGCATGCCATAAAGACAGAGAGACAGAAAGCGAGAAATCACCCCCCAGGAGGGATGGCCATGCCGCAATCCTTTCTCCTTCATTCTCCTCTTGGGATCTTGGGCACGCACGCACACGCGCCCGGCGTGAGTTTTAAGCCACCGGGTCCGGGATGCAAACCACAGTTGACTACATGGGAGCCCAGCGACATAACCATTACACCATTTGCTGATCCCCCAGCTCCTACTCTTACAAGTCAGTTGTCAGCAAGGAGGAAATATCTTCTTGTTTCTTTCATGCAGGAAGTCTATGAGGAGAGGGTCCTCTGTGTGGTCATGCAGCACTGTCTGTTACAGGGTGACAGGCCTCTCTCTCACTGTGAGATTCCGTGTCAGGAACCATCTGCTTAGAGATGGAAGCTTTAGCCTCATCCTAGCTCTATCAATATAAAAGAAATATTTTGGTTCTCCATCTGCTATGTTCTCTTGCTTTATAGGTTGGTTTAAAACTTGAGTAGGGAAGAGTGGTTGCTATTTATTTGACCTTCTCAAAGACTCCAGTGCTCCTGGTAGAATTCCAGTTCATCCTAGGATGGGAGGAAAGAAACAATGCCAACGAACTAAGATAAAGTGGCATGTGCCATCATTGTTTGTTCAGTGGCATCCTTTGTTTTTGATACTTTTTTTTTTTTTGAGAGAGAGAGGTTTTGTTTGTTTGTTTGCAATAGAGCATGTGCATGTACCAGAGATAAAGAGACAGAAAAGGAGAAATCACCTCCCAGGAGGGCTGGCCATGTCATATTCCCTTCGCCTCCATTCTCCTCTCAGGATTTTGGGCATGCATGCATGTGTGCCCAGTGTGAGTTTTAAGCCACTAGGTCTGGGACTTGAACCACAGTAGGCTATGTGGGAGTTCAGTGATGTAACCATTACACCATCTGGCCAGAGATATAGAGACAGAAAAGGAGAAATCACCTCCCAGGAGGGCTGGCCATGTCATATTCCCTTCGCCTCCATTCTCCTCTCAGGATTTTGGGCATGCATGCATGTGTGCCCAGTGTGAGTTTTAAGCCACTAGGTCTGGGACTTGAACCACAGTAGGCTATGTGGGAGTTCAGTGATGTAACCATTACACCATCTGCTGGTCCCTGGTTTTGATATTTTTCTGAGAATTTAGATAGGAATCCAAGTCTCTTAACTTTGAAACTTACAATCAAGTCAATGGTTTTCTCTTTCTTTTACTTTTTTTAAAGTATTATTTTATTTAAGTTTATTTATTATTATTATTTTCAAGTTTGATCAGAGAGAGAGAGAGAGACAGGGAAAGCGAGAAAGCAAGCCACCAGGTCCAGGACTTCAACTGTGGCCAGTCATGTGGGAGTCCAGGGCCTTTAGCCACCGCACCACCTGCCGAGTCCTCATTTCCTTTCTTTTTCTTTCACTATATGATACTATTTAGACCAAAGAGAAAAAGGGTTTTTTCTGAAGCTATTGAAGCGAAGTCTGGCCACACAACAAAATGATAATCTGATACTAGATGTCAAAAGCTGGAAGTGAGTTTTATTTTCTTGGCTCCACCTTTTAAATGGCAAGTTACCTTTGTAGGTTGGGACAGTGTCCAACTTTCCTTTTTTAACTTGACGTCTCTCCAAAGGCCGGACTATTGCCACAGGCTGCACTTTATAAGAATTAAAATCCTGTTTGTAGGTAGTGCCAAGATCAATCTTCCCCTGTTTTGGTTTATATTCTTCAGGTACATGGCGAGGCTGCTTGACTATTTCATAAGGACGATAATCCGACCTGAAATATATAAATTTGAAACATAGCCTCACAGGTACTTTTATTCCTAATTATTTCAATGCAGTATTGAAAAGTTGAAGGAAGTTTTTTAACTTGAAAAGTCTGAGAATATATTAAGATGGTAAGAGTTGTAAGCTACTTGAAAGAATCAAATTCCTCCCTCCTTGATTGGCTCAACTTAAATCCACCAAATAGTTTGATCAAAATAGTTAGAAAGTTATTAAGGCCAGAAGAGTTGGGAGGAAAATAAGTAAAACAAATCGTCGTTTGATATTTACTTAAAGGTAGTTATTCCTTCCATTTTACCACGGCATGCTCGAAATTCCTGCTTGGGTTTAAGACTCTGAGGTGGGAGAACTTGGCCATACAGAGGATATTTTTCCAAATATTCAGTTGTAGGCCAAGACATGCCAGAATTCTCATAAATCCTTGTGGTTCCATGTGGACAATGATGTCGCCTGTGCAAACAGATAAACTAAAAGGTTATTTTGCCTTAAAAAACTTGTGTGGTAATTCTATTTTAATCAGAAACCGCCTATAAATTCAAAATCTTTCCATTTTAGAGCATCTTTATTAAGAAATGAAAACTGCTTTCCTCTACAATGTTTACCAAAACCATGTATAAATGATGGTGTATTCTTACTGGTGGAAACTGGTTTGATCTTACAACAATGCAGTGTCTTGTTATGCTATAGAACCTGGAAGCTTGTGAGTGAATTTCCCACACTCCTTGCAAACAGGTTCCCCATACATTTAGTACCTCCATCTGTTGGAGGTCCTCACGTGAACTTTGATTGAGAATTCAGCTATAGAACGACAGTGACGGCACAACATCCCTTTTGCCTCCATAGATCGTGGTAGAGGTAGAGAGTTGAGAGCCAGCACTTTGGCAGCATGCTGATTTGCAAGGTGGTTTTCTGACTGGGCAGCTCCCCGATCTTGGCAGAGATGAGTGGTCCTGCAGCCTACCACTCCGCTGCAGTTTGTTGACTGTGGAAGAGGTAGCAGCTCCTTTGGCAGTCCAGTTCTGTGGTGTGATCTTTCAGAATTTTTCCTGGAAGCTTACTTTGAAAATTTCTTCAGTTCTTCCAAGTGAGATAGATAGATAGATAGATAGATGCCTTAATAAATTCCTTTTTGCCTAAACTAACCAGCAGAGATGTCGTCCATAACTGAGTCCTGATCAGAGCATCCTATGTGAATAGCATGTGCTTGTCGAAGAGAATGAAACTGAACTTTATGATGGCCATTGGTGGATGACGAAATCGTAAACAGTGAAAACGTAGGTTGTAGAATAGTATGTACAATATACACCTTCTTTCTCTTTCTAATGAAATAAACCATGTACGTGTAAGACAAATATTAAAGAACATTTGTTATCTATCAGGGAAAGGACTATGAGGGATTTTTCACAATATTGTCATTTTTTTGCTTGAGATTTTATACCATGCCTTGTGTATGTTTTGTGTATAATTGGTAAAAAGACAAAAATAAAAACCTTAAAAAAAAAACCCTCCCCCCAAATCAAACAAAGAAGTAAAAACCACACCATTCTGAAAGATAAGGTCTCTTTCTCAAGTTTGGTATCATTTAGGGACCCCAGACGATGTAGTGAGGGTTGATAATAGAAGACCAGGTAAAGCTAAACCTGAACAAAACATCTGTGCTTTGCAGATGAAGCAGAACTAACCAATACACCTGAATGCAGTGAACCCTGGGAAGGAAAAAAGAGGAGCAAGCTTCTTTGCTCGGAGGTCGCTGGAAAGCATGAAGAACTTGGGTGCAGTGAAGCGTGAAGCAGTGGTGTCACGGGATGTCCAAGAAACATCAGCGTCAAGAGGTGCATGAGCATCAGGTAGAAATGGAGGCTGTGAGGACGTGTATGTAGGTCCTGCGTAGACTTTCGGACAAAGCTGCACTAAGTTAGGGACCAGCAGTTAGTGTAATGGCTATGTCGCTGGACTCCCATGTAGTCGACTGCGGTTCACGTCCCGGACCCAGTGGCTTAAAAGTCACGCCAGGCGCGTGTGCGTGCGTGTCCAAGATCCCGAGAGGAGAATGGAGAAGGGATTATGGCGTGGCCATCCCCCCGGGGGGTGATTTCTCGCTTTCTGTCTCTCACTGTCCGGTGAGCGCACGTGCCCTATAGCAAAAACCTCTAAAAAAACAAAAAACAAAAACAAAAAAACCCCACTGCACTGAGTTAAAAGAGCCAGGCCCAAACTTTGGTACTTGTCACTGTTTTTAGTTTTTATTTTCCAGCAAGCAGTACATTCACACTGTAACAAATGAAACAGTACTAAATAGTTATAAAGGAACAAAAAGCCTCTGTCCCAAGATTTCCAATCCTTAAAAGCAGCTTCTTTCTCTTTCTGCTCTCTAGTTTTGGTGGAGGCTACATCTGTAACACTTAGAAACTTGCAGCATCTTGATGTTACTAACTTTCAAATGTTAACACAAAGGGTAAAGGTTTAGCTAGTTAATGCCACTCCCATTCACTTCCTATTGGGGCATGGTCATGCATCAATTCAGCACGTATTTAAAGCACAGCCACTATGCGAAGGTGTTGGGGATACAGCATAAAGAAAGAAAAGGTGGGTGAGCCCATGGCCTGGATAAAGGCAGCTAGATTCTACATGGCCAACCCTGTGGTTCAAGTCCTCAACCTGCGGCTTGGGAAACATACCAGGTACATGTGCGTGTGTGTGCCCACAAGCCCCCCAAAAAGGGGGAGATAAATGAGAGGGGATTACGGCATGGCCATGCCTCATAGCGGGTTTTCTCTTACTCCCCCTGCCCTCTTTGGCAAATTTTAAAAATAAAAAAAAATTTTAAAAAGGAAAGGAGAAAAAAATAAGGCAGTTCTGCCCAGTAATGCAGCAGTTAAGCGCCATGTATGGGGAGCTGGATTTCATGTGGCTGACCACAGTTCCAATCCTGACCCAGGCAGCTTGAAAACATGCTGGGTGTGTGTACATGTGTGCCCCAATCCTAACGGTATGAAGAAATAGAGGGAAAAAGATAGCGGGTGACACCTCACTCTCTCTCCTTAATTCCTCCTTTCTTTGTTGAGTGTGTGTACCCTCTGGTAATAACAAAAGGCAAGGCTAGCAGGTGGGATGGAGATTAAGGTGCTGGATCCCACAAGGCTGACTGCATAGTTCAAGTCCTGGACCTGGTGGCTTGAAAATCACATTGGGCAAGTGTGCATGGTTGCCCAAAATCCTGAGAGGAGATTGGAGGAGAAGGGATTGTAGAGGGGCCAGCCACCCTGGGGAGTAATTTCTCACTTTCCTCTCTATTTCTCTCTGTCTCTCTCTCTCTCTGGCAAGTGCATGCCAGAAAAAAGGCAATAAATGCCCTACTTTCCTTGAGCTTTCCTGAGACATGGCAGGTAGAGAACCAGTAACAAATAAATCCGAAAATACATGGTGTATCATAACTGCAATCGCAAAAAAAGTAAAGCAGGCAAGTGGGACAGAGTGTGGGATAGGGCAGGAAAGTTGCAGGTTTAGAGAATATGACATTTGGGCCCAGATCTGAATGAGATCTTTCATTAGATTTGAACAAAGATCCAAATGTACAGACTTTTTTCCTTACACATACCTTATTTAAATTTGTATTATAAAATAATACATTTAATCCCTCCCCCCCCTTTTTTTTTCCATCTACCAATTTAAAATATCATTTCTGGACACACCACTTTGTAACATCTAGGCATTGGCTCTTAGGTGCTTTGACTTTGCTACTTTGTAAGATGATTGGGAAAACTGTTAGAATCTGAAGACTTTTTTCCAATTTGCTACCCCTCTTCCAGATTGTATTTTTACCATCTTTCTTTTACATTTATTATATATACTACTACTTTGTTCAAATTTTGCACTTTAACACAAACTGCCATGCTCTGTACCTAGGTTTTTTAGAAAAGTTATAAACTATGTTTACATTGCAATTGACTATGGTACATCATTTAATGCGGAGGCATTTAATGTGCAGGAATTATCTTTTCTTCTCCAAGGGTTCAATATCACGACCCTAGGGCATCCAAAGTATTAGGCTGTTGGCAAAGTCATGACATATTTTCCTGTCCTTCTGTACAAAAACATGTCATGACTGTCAACAACCTAATAAAAGATTTCTAGCCTCCAGATGAAGTAAACGATCTTCTCTTTCATTCTATTAGTTATTAATACTTTCAAAATTACTTATTACTTTGCTTAATATTTGAATAATAATATTATGGTGTACCTTTTTATTTTCCCTAAATGTCTAATATTTTTGATTCCTCTTATAGTCTTATTTTGCCTGCACTCAAGATTTTCAACCTTCTTTAAGAAAAAGATTTCTAACCTTTGTATTGTACCATCTATTTTACCAAGGCTCTTTTTTCATGTAGCTTTTTTCCCAAATCTGGAGTCTTAACTTTTCCTAGACAACTGATACTTAGTTGAAAAGCATTCCATCCCTCTCTCTCTCCTGGGGTGGTACCAGCTGCTTGTGCTCTGCTTAGTGGAACAGGAGTAGCAGGGAGAAAGGCCAACAATATAGGCTTTTTTTTTTAATTTCTTGGAGAGGTTTTCAGTATAGGGTGCGTGCACTCGCCAGACAGAGAGAGACAGAGAGACAGAAAGCGAGAAATCACCCCCCAGGGAGATGGGCGTGCCATAATCCCTTCTCCTCCATTCTCCTCTCAGGATCCTGGGCACGCACGCACATGCGCCCAGTGTGAGTTTAAGCCACTGGGTCTGGGACTTGAACCACAGTCGACTACATGGGAATCCAGCAACATAGCCATTGCGCTAACTGCTGGTCCCAATACAGGCGTTCTGAATTCAGTCCACAACTAATCTTTATGTATCACCCAACCCTTCTACTCTATTCAGACTGCACACTTTGAGCAGTCACTCTCAGGCCCTATTTGACAGACAAGCTATCATGTCCACTTCATATCATTTACTTTAGTGTATCTTTTTTGCTTTAATTGTTAGTGTTCCTTTCTGTCTTCCCCAAACTTGTTGACATTGCTCTTCAGTAATGTGGGTTATTGGGACCAGCAGATGGCGTAATGATTATGTCACTGGACCCCCCCCCATTTAGTTTACCACAGCTGGATTCCTGGACCCGATGGCTTAAACACATTGGGCACGTATGCATGCATGACCAAAATCCCGAGGAGAATGGAGAAGGGATTCCAGTGTGGCCTTCACCCCTGGGGGTGATTTCTCGCTGCACCCTATAGCAAAAACCTCTCTTTAAATATAAATAAATGAATAAATAAATAAGAAAGTAAATAAATAAGGTGGGTTAAATGTACCTAGGTTCCTGCCATTTTATTTCAGTAGATCCTAGAAAACAAAGAACATGCCCTTTGCATCATGGACTTGCAACATCAATCAAGTGACTTTCTAGCCCTTCAAATGTCATCCTCTCTCCTACCTCCCTCAAAGCTCACCAAACCATCTGACCAAAGTAAGCTGGCTAGTATTACAAAGACTCATTATTTTCTAACATCCTCCAACTTTGGTTTACAACCTCAAAGAACCCCATCTCAGTTTAATTCACATGAAAAATTGTATATACACATTATAGAGAAAATATGCTAGAGTTGGATGGTTGCTTTGACCTTATCATTGAAAAATATATATATAGATGTGTGAAATGATGTGATTACATAATGTGGGAAAGAAAAAAAAAAGATTCAAACACCAAACTAATAACGTGGCAGAAGCATGTCACAACTTCCCGGAAGAGGTCTTGTGACCATCTTGGTCCTCCTAGAGAAAGGCAACTTACTGAAATATTAATGAGTTCTGTCTTTCTCCCCCTCCTCTATTTCCGACAGGTAATCAGGAGATCTTTCTATTTCCTTATCCTAGGGTTTGGCAGGACAGAGAAGTTACCTGAAGTCAACAAATTTTTCTGTCCTTAAGAAAAAAAACAAAACAAAACTGGGGACCAGCAGGTGGCATTGTGGTTAAGGTGCTGAACACTCCCCACATGGCTGACCATGGTTTGAGTCAAGTCCTGGAACTGACGGCTTGCTTTTTCTCTCTCTCTGTCTGTCTCTCTCTGGTCAAATTGAAAACTAGGTGAATAAATAAATAAAATAATAAATAATTATTTTTTAAAAAATACCCCCACCACCAAAAAACAAACAAAAAAACCCCACCACTTCCTGGAAGAGACAAAATCAAATGTCCCTAAGGGGGAGATGAAATACAGTAGTCTCATGGGATCACAAGAAGAAAGAGGAAAAGAATCCTTTCATCCTCCCATTAAGAAGGCTGATTTGGGGGGCCAGCAGGTGGCACGGTGGTTAAGGCGCTGGACACTCCCACATGGCCAACCGTGGTTTGAGTACTGGACATGGTGGTTTGCTTTCTCATTTTTCCTCTCTCTCTCTCTCTGTATCTCTCTCTGGTCAAAATAAAATAAATGAATGAATAAATAAAATGAAATAAATAATTATAAAAAAAGGCTGATTAAAAAAAGATGAGAGGGTAAAAAAGATGAGGGGCAGGGGTTCTGAGAAGAGTGAAGCCTCTCTGTCCCATTCTGTGCTAGTGTCCCAGGAGACCCAATGGCAAAAGGGTTGGCTGAATGGAGCCTAATAGTAGCTCCCAGCTTTATCAAAGATTCCTGTACCTCAAACATACGCCTGAAAGCAGCAGAAGCACAATTTTTTTTTTTTTGGAGAGAGACTTTTGCTATTGGGTGCCTGTGTGCGCTTGCTGGAGAGAGAAAGAAAGAGAGAGAAAGCGAGAAATCTACCCCCGCCCCACCCCCACCCTCTGGGGGATGGCCACACCTCAATCCTTTCTCCATTTTCTTCTGGGGATTTTGGGCACGCGCGCACACGCACGCACACACACACACACACACCCATGGAGTTTCAAGCCTCTGGGTCTGGAACTCTAACCACTGTAGGCAATGTGGGAATCCAGCGTCTCAAACACTAGGCCACCTGCTGGCCTCAGAGGCACAACTCTTGAAAGAACTGTGCAAACTTCAGCAAAGAACATCTGTGGGAATCATTACCAGGTTCAAAACCTAAAAGGCGACTCTTCTTGCATTGGCATCACCTCAGCTCTTTGAATTGTTCAGCTGCTTGAAAAACTGGAGGAGGGGAGATGGGAGAAGACAGCCTAATAAAGGCTGAATCTCCTGGCACTGGGTGGAGCAGGAACTTAGGTGGGATATCAATTAAAATTAGAAAGACATTAAAAATTTTGTCTTGCAGATTCATACCTCAAAGGTTATCTTTTCACCTATTTAATTAATATGAGACAGAAAAACTGCTTATCAACATAGTTTTGTTTTTTTAATTTGAAGGGGGTTACAAATAGGAAGCGCTTCACATTTATTTAGCAAATAGTGATCTAATCCCTGGGTCAACACGATGAAGACTGTGTTTACAGGCGGTGGCAGGTTGTCAGGCAGGACTCGCAGGCCAGTTCTGGAGTTGAGGGTGGGGACTACTTACTGCCTTTCAGTCCGGCAGATCCCAAAGGATCACAGCCTGGCCCGGAATGGGAATACGGTCAGGCTTGGAAGATGGGAAGCTGGAATTGACAGAAACTGTCAGGTGCGCTGCAAACTCATCTTGCGCATCGTTTTTCTTCTTCGATTTCAGGTGGGGCATGCACCAGCCGCCCACCCGGACGCGGCGTCCCCTACACCGCCTTATCTACCTGGCCCGATGGCATCGCAGCCTCCATCCCTGTACCGGGAGGGAGTGTCAGAAACTGCGAGGAGACCTTCTGCCCTGCAGCCGGCGTGTGCGGGGCGAGTATTCGTGGGTTCGGATAAGCAGCGCCCCGACCGCTTCCTCTCTAGGGGCGGCCGCTCGGGCCCGGCCCGCCCCCCGCGGCCCTGCCCGCCGCCCAGCCGTCCCTTACCCGCAGGTACAAATCTGACACAGGCACCGGCTCCTCATGCCCTCGCTCGCAGCGCGGGGACAGCGCCTCTGCACTCGCCGCTTCTCGGCTTCCGCAGCGCGCGTCGTAGTCAAGGCAACCGCGGGAGCCTTGGAGACGGACGCGGCGCGGGCTTCCGGCGGCGTCAGAGACGCGCGCGGGTCAAGGGTCGTGCGTCCACTCGCCCCGCCTCCTGGGGGCGGGGCTCCAGACC